GAAATTTAAAAGAAAATTTCTAATTTTGTTTTGAAATTATGTTTTAGATTATTATTTCCATTTATTTAAAGATATTACAAATAGATAAATATCAAAAATAATTTATAGTTCTTGTCTTAAGAAAATTACAAATTTTGTTTATAATTTTTGCTGGTCAAAAATGGGAAAACAAATTTCAAATAATGTTTATCATTATGTAAGTTATTTTTTAAGGTAAGGAATTGTGAAATGCCTCATGTGGAGATGATATTCCTTTGATTATCACGTGCTTGGTCGGACCAGCCAGCACTCACGTGGCATATCTCGCGAGTTTCCGACAGTCCGATCGGAGTTTTGCCTCGCTTCCGCCCTTCACAGTCCAGCGTATGGTTCGCGGACCGAGGCCAGCGCTCTCCGTATCTGGTTCACTGTCTCCTGAAACTCTTACTTCCTGCAACTCCACACGCTTGATTCGGGAAGCCACCGCCTTAGGACCATGCCCACTTCTATGTGCAACCTGTCCGATTGCAGCTTCAAGTGCACGTCCCCAACGTGAGTAGAGGAGTCCAAGCGTCCTACCATGGCCAGGCAAGTTGGAGGCATTATCGTTTGATGACGACTGCTGTGAGCAGAGCTCGTAGATGGATTCTTCACCGTCATACAGAATGTCTTCTCCTTGATCTGTGTCGCCCGGTGGAGGGATGAAGTCGTATACGGGGAATGACGACGGCATATTGAGTCGAGTCTTCTCAGTGGGACTGCTTATGGCTATCGACGAGAAGGCTGGACTGCTGTGTGATTCTCTTAAGAGCACATTCTTATAAGTTGAGCCTGACTGATTAGTAAGGAGTGAGGCAGTTGCAAGGAAGTGATGGAATACTCGGGGCAATGCTTATCGTCAACGTGGTTCCTTGTACACTGATCATACATATCGAAGTGTGGAAAATACTTCGCCTTCGGATCCTGTGTAATAGGCTCCAAGTACGAATACACTGATGCATGTTTGCTTTGTATGTGCACAGCATTGGGTGACTTCTGGATGAAACAAAGGTGATTACTATAGGTGATTATAGTGTATGAGTGTCTTCTAAGGAACTCATGCTTTATTAATAAACAATATTCAGGGCATACATGTTGTATCCATCAAGCAGATAAAGTGCTTCATTTAGAATAAATGTATCATTTCCTAGTTAAAGTAACACAATGTAATAAACAGACAATGAGTAATTGGTTCTAAAAGCTGGTCAAAATCATAACAGAGAAGGAAAAATATGACCTGTTTGTGTATGTACAGAGCTCTGCTAGCAACAATCACTGCCCTTAAACCCTTGTTCCCTATCAAAGAAACTCTATGATAGGTCAGCTGTGAATGCTGGGATGGTCTAGTTACTATGAATAGGGTGACACTTGATATATCTCATTTCACACTGGAACACACAGCCATTACAGAAATATTAAGGTCAACCTGTGCAAATGGCAGTGATTCAAATACAGTACACTCCAACAATGTGAGACTCAGTGGAATTGGCAGGCAATTTGAACATTTGGCAATCTAATAGTGATGTACTAGTTGGTTGTAATTCAGTATTAGTAATAATGTTAGCATTTCTGCTGAGAACACTTGTGAAAAGGAACATTGATCATGGTTGCTTTGAACCTAAATGAATGGTAATCAAACCTTGTAACGCTGATACTGACAATAAACAGCATGTCCCCAATCTCTCCCAGGCCTACCGAGGAATCTCCGTCGTAAGTCAGCTGTGGAGGTTGAATGCATTCTTTTCTGCCTGATTACCACGCGCGCTAAATAGATGCGTCAGCCTGTGAGATGCGGGTAAATAATCAATCACAACATAGGAACTTTAATATTTCCGTAACTTGGACTCCTTCTCCTTGCTTTGTGTTACTAATACTAACCACCGCTGACAATGAATCCTGAGTCTGCATCACCTTTCCTGAGAGTTGAAGGGACGAAAATCGTCGATGGTCACGGCCGCGAGGTTGTTCTTCGTGGTGCTGGGCTTGGAGGATGGATGAAGTGAGTAAAACTTGAACCTTTCTAACGTAATTATGAGTTAAATACATGCGATAGCATGGAGAACTTCATCTCTGGTACGTTGGAATTATAAGAAAAGTGCGTTTAGTTACCTTTCCGTTGATCCTGCTAATTAGGTTATCCGGGCTGTGAGTTTCAAATCCGAGAGGCACTGGCCGAAGTGCTAGGAACGGAGAAATCGACGTTCTTCTTTGACAAGGTAAATTAATATCATCTGCCTTGCCCTTCTACGCATTTGACTCATTGATATACTTGAGATAGTTTCTTGAATATTTCTTTGGAGAGAAAGATGCTGAATTCTTCAAGTCTCTCGGTCTGAACTGTATCCGGATCGCGATCAACTATCGACACTTTGAAGATGACGACAACCCTCGAGTCCTCAAGTCCGAAGGCTTCAAGCACCTCGATCGCGTTGTCGATGCTTGCGCAAAGCACGGGATCTACACAATTATTGACCTCCACACAACTCCTGGAGGTCAAAACGGTGGGTGGCACTGTGACAGTGGTGTACACCTGGCGAACTTCTGGAGGCACAAAGACTTCCAAGACCGTGCTGTATGGCTTTGGGAGGAACTTGCGAAGCATTACAAGGATAACGCGTGGATCGCTGGATATAACCCGATTAACGAGCCTGCCGACTCTCGCCACACACGCCTCGTCACGTTCTATGATCGTGTTCTGAAAGCAATTCGTGAAATAGACCCAAATCATATTCTATTTCTCGATGGGAACACGTACGCAACAGACTTTACGCGTTTTCCGGAAGATGTGAAGGATCGTTGGCCGAATTGCGCGTACGCGATTCACGATTATAGCTTGTATGGATTTCCAGCGGCACCTGAGTCATATACGAGGACACCTGAGCAACAACGACGAATGAGGCGGAGCTACGAGAAGAAACGTGAGTGGATGGATGCGAGAGGGCTTTGCGTGTGGAATGGCGAGTGGGGTCCGGTTTATGCACGAAGAGAATATGAAGGAGATCAGACAGACGAGATCAACGAGCACCGGTATATGGTTCTCAAGGATCAGTTGGATATCTATCAAAAGGTGAGGGCACGACTATCCACATCGCAAATGACTAAGTAATTGTGTTTCCAGGATAGCTTGAGCTGGTCAATCTGGCTATACAAGGACATAGGATTTCAAGGGATGGTCTACGTCTCTCGAGACACATCCTACATGAAGCTATTTGCACCTCTTCTCGAGAAGAAACATAGACTTGCAATTGACAGTTGGGGAGCTGACGATACCAATGTTAAGCACATCTTCGACCCTCTCGTAGACCTGATAAAGGACAACGTTAAAGGCAAACGCTATCTCGAAACGTACCCATTCCCTGTCTGGACAATCGAGAAACGCACCGCAAGATTCGCTCGGTCACTATTGATGGGAGAGATATTCGTCAATGAATAGGCGGATTATTTCAAGGGAAAAACGGTAGAAGAGTTGGACGAACTCGCACAGAGTTTCAAGTTTGAAAATTGCTTGAAACGAGATGGGTTAAACAAGGTGCTGACCGAGCATGCTCAGCTTAGCTGCATGTAGAGAATACGTAGATTCGCGGAAAGTTTATAGTAACAAAAATATGTATGATGGTAGTGGTTACAAAGAAAGCAAGATTTTTCCGCCGGGAAAACGTCGGAGGAAGTGGTTCGCGCGGAGCAAGCGGGCCTCAGCCTCCGCTCTCAACTTCCACCATCGCATGACCCACGAACGTCTTGGACACAGTATAAGAGGCGGGCGTTGTAGACATGAATAGCGCTAAACAGCCCGCGTATCTCTCACAATGTCTTTCATTCGAGTTGAAGGCACAAAGCTCGTGGATGGGGAGGGCAAGGAGATCATCCTTCGTGGTGCTGGTCTCGGTGGTTGGATGAAGTAAGTGAGCGTTCTTATATATGTGTTTCATTAGTGACTAACGCATTTTTAGTATGGAGAACTTCATTTCAGGTTGGGATAATTTATCAGTCGCCTTGCTGCTGGCGTGTTGAGTATGCACCAGGTTATCCCGGATGTGAGTTTCAGATCCGCAGCGAACTGGCAAAAGTCGTTGGGAAAGAGAAGTCGGAATTCTTCTTCGACAGGGTACATCTTCTCGAAGATTAACGTCACTCTCATCCCGCTCGGAGCAACTCTAACTCAGCTTTTGTTAGTTTCTCCAATATTTCTTCGAGGAAGATGATGCCAAGTTCTTCAAGTCGCTCGGTCTGAACTGTATTCGTATCGCCTTCAACTACCGACATTTCGAGGATGACATGAATCCACGTGTGCTGAAGCCAGAAGGTTTCAAGCATCTCGACCGCGTTATCGACATCTGCGCTAAACACGGTATCTACACCATCCTCGACTGTCATACTGCACCTGGTGGTCAAAATACGGATTGGCACAGTGATGCTGGAACACACATAGCAAACTTCTGGATTCACAAGGATTTCCAGGACAGGCTCGTATGGCTTTGGGGAGAACTCGCCAAGCACTACAAGGACAACCAATGGATTGCTGGGTATAACCCATTGAACGAGCCTACCGACTCGGAGCACACACGCCTCATCGTGCTTTACGATCGCTTATACGAGACGATCCGTGCAATCGATAAGAACCACGCACTTTTCTTGGACGGAAACACCTTTGCATCTGATTTCAGTCATTTCGGGGATGCACACAAGCGCTGGACAAATTCTGCATATGGTATCCACGATTATTCTGGTTACGGATTCCCAGCAGCGGGTGAGTTGTATTCAGGCACGGACGAGCAACGCCGTCGTATGCGTCGTTCGTACGAGAGGAAGAAACAATGGATGGACGAGCGCGGTCTGTGCGTTTGGAACGGTGAATGGGGTCCCGTATACGCACGTCGTGAATACGAAGGTGACCTCACGGACCAGATCAACGAGTCGCGCTACCTCGTCCTCAAAGACCAACTTGCAATCTACAACAATGATCGTCTAAGCTGGTCGATTTGGTTGTACAAGGATATCGGATTCCAGGGAATGGTCTTCGTCTCCCGTGAGACTCCATACATGACCCTCCTTAAAGACTTCCTCGCGAAAAAGCACCGACTCGCCGCGGACGCATGGGGAGCGGATGATTCGTATGTCCGCTCGAAGTATCAGCCACTGCTAGACCTTATTGCCAACGAAGTCGCACCAACCGATGAATTACAGCGTCTCTACCCTTGGCCTGTGTGGAAACTCTCAGATCGCGTTGGACGACTTTCACGCAACATACTCGTGTCAGAGTTCCTTGTCAAAGAGTGGGCAGAACACTTCCGTGGAAAGTCGGAGGCAGAGCTCGATCAGATCGCTCAGAGTTTCAGGTTCGCGAATTGTATGAAGCGAGATGGGTTGAATAAGGTGCTCACGGAGAATGCGAGTTTGGTTGCGAAGTCCGGTTGAAGAATAGGACAGAAGTGAACACAACGCGTTGTATCAATGTGATTGTAATGATAAACCAGCTGTCGTCGTACAATGTAATTCGTTACAAAATCTGAAGGTTATGAATCTCAGAAGCCGTATTTGTCCAAAGGGTTATTTATTACGTAATGCAAACGAATCCTGCTCGTGAAAGTCAAAATAAAAAATTACTGTACCCATCTGTATGGGTACAACCGTAACGTGTAACGCAGGGGTGGTTTGGTTGCTAGCAGTAACGCGTAACGCATAGCAGTAGTTGCTTTCCCTTAAGGAGCGTTACATAGTTTTAAGCGAGCATTATATTATATAAGACAATTCAAAGTTTTGTTACTTTTGTATACTACAAGTGTTAGAAAATTTGAAAAACTTATTGGATTGTTACGATTGAATTTATATACTAATACTAATGTAGTATAGTAACTTCCGGCAACGTCCGTCTGGTTGTCTGTATTAGCAACTGTAACGCGTCCACATAGTTAGGTTTCCAATTTCCACCGGTAACGCACTCTGCCTGGTTGTACCCATACAGATGGGTACAGTAGTCGTCACGAGGCTGCCAGTGGTTGAACTCGGCCAGCTTGCAGCGCTCTCGCCAAATCGTCTTCGAATCTAGTGACTTCTGCAAATGCGTTGTCTTCGTATCTGCGGAAGTTAAATAACCCAGTAAACTCGGCGTTCCTGCCGTTGGGCGTACTTCTCGGACTGACATGCTCGTGGTCTGTGATGCAACCATATGGACAACTAGATTCGTGCTTCTCACAGATTCTCGGTAGTCTTGCGTCCCATACCTATCTGACACGTACTTATGGACGAATTTCGCTGCTGAAAGTAAAGAAAAGATTTCGCTAACCCCTGCTTCAGAGTGTACTTGTTCTGGGCAATGATTCTGGAACTCAACGTCACTTTGGTCTTCACATGTCGAACTCTTGTATGTAATTTCAGATCTACCTTTATGCAATTGGGCACGTTCAATTGCGGCGGCCAGCGCCTCTACCTCGTTTGTCTCTGTCCTCCATATCCGACATCAACGCATTTCCCTAAACGAAGTACCCTCAACATCGAGAACGTTGGTACGACAAGAAATGCTCAGGAGCGAATATGATAACCTGTGGTAAATCTCTGCAGAAGCAATAATATTGTTGACTAGACACTAATATTTTCGTCGTGTATAGTTGTCGATTTGTCCTTGCTACAGTCTGTAATGTCCGAAAAGATGAAACCGGTCTTGTACATCTTCAGTCCCATATGTGCAGTCTCTTTCCTTGATGCTCAAACCAAACGAAGACGAGATGCTACTCGCTCCGCTTCAGACGGCATCGGAAACCGGTCGCTGTACTCGCACATGGACGGTTGGAGTAGGTGGTAGCCCGCAGTAACATGTCGTCTTCATAGCCTTTCGCTTATGATTTTACGAGCACATGTAGCACGATAGGGAAAAGGTATAAATTAGAGTGTACCATTGACGAGGTAGAGCAACAAACCTCTGCGATCCTAACGTCTCTACTGCTCGCGCATTCAGCTTTTCGACAACTATGCTCTTCAAGCAACTCGTTCTTCTGGCCGTCATTGCCGCTGCTACCGCTATACCGGTGAGTATCATTTATCGGGCACAGATCAAGATATACTCAACGACATGTAGGTGCCGGAAGACGGGCATGTTATTGTGGCACGTGCAGGTCCGCCTCCGCCGCCTCCACAAGGTCTATCTGGAGAAAAGCGTGATGCTCAAGATCCTCCCCCGCCTCCTCCGGTTACCACGCCTCATCCTCCCCACGGAAAGCGCAATCCCCAAGGAGTTACCTCCACCTCTACTGTTATCACCTCCACTGTCACCTCTACTGGCGTCACCTCTACTGGCGTCACCTCTACTGCTGCCACCTCTACTGGTGTCACCTCCACTGCTGCCACCTCCACAGGCGTCACCTCCACTGCTGCCACCTCCACAGGCGTCACCTCCACTGCTGCCACCTCTACTGGCATTGCTTCACGGAGAGTGTGATCTCCAGCTCTACCACCCCTGAGCCAAGTCCTTCACGAGGACAATGCCTCAAGCTCTGTCCAGGTGTAAGGTGAGGCATTCTTGAAGATACACATTCTGTTTTCTCACTGATGCTTTTCCCGTCACAAAGGTCAAGTTAAAGATCTCAGTATGGAGGATTCAGTTTTGAATAGTCTGCATGGTCGGACATAACCATTTTGCCTGAATCAAATCCTTAGTCATTCTTTTAGTCTCACTCTCCTTGCTTCATGTAAGACTCTATAAATCCACATGGTCATTTTCGTTCATTACTGCATTTTTGACAAGAAGCAGTGTTTTACTGAAAAATGTCCTGTCATTCATTCGTTATAAGACTTAGTAGTTTGGTGTTTCCGTATTTCCACCAGTGTGAACCTAAAGAGCAAACTCTTTCTACGACTTTTTCTGCGAGTTTTTTCGTGCTCTCAAGATTCCTACAGTTGGAACGAAAACACAGAGATAAAATAGATGGACTCAACTATCCTGAAAGAATTGCTTTATTTTGGTATCACAAAACAAGATATTACTGAGGTTAACAGTACAGTAATGGCAAACCATACATTAGTATTTTCTTAGCTGTCATAACTATACAGTGTATCAGATCCATGTAATTTCTGTTAATATTGAATTGTAGGCAAACAAAGATGAAATAAATGACCTGATAAAGTCTGGATGGATCTGTCTACTTCCTACTTCATTGTCTTTGTCAGTCATTACAGTAATACTTATTACTAAAAACATTACTGTGTAAACATTACAGCTTTGAGTATTATCTGTGCATCTAAATAGACAAAGTATTTGTAAACAATAATATTTTGTCTTTTTTATGTCAAGTTGCTATTCTTAATAAAAGTAAGTATAGCCACTTTTACTTTATAATCAAATTCTAATACTTATTATTAATACTATATTACTACTAGTGCTATACTATTGAAGCTAAGGCTAGAACACAGAAATAGGAGCTAAGTAAAAGTATTTGCATTTGTTTTACTAACATGTCTATTTCTTTGTTAATAATTTAAGTGGCTAAAGATTTACTTTAGTATTAGTTTGAAAATAAAGGGAATGAGTCTGGATAGTGTGAACAAGTTTTGAATGTTCTTCTGCATTTAGTTATTTTTACAATATTCTTCAATATTTACCTTAATATTTCCTTATAACTATATTCAGGACACTATTAGTGTTATTAAGTCAAAGATTTCCTACTGTAATCATACTCTGAGTAATTTTCTTATAATCTATATTATTGTTAAGACTGTAATATTAAGTAACATATTTGGACAATTCAGCAAAGGTAGCAGACACACTAACTTACATGTGGATACATACAGGCATCACTCACATGACTACTTATTACACAAAGTAGTGTATGTATTATAGTATAAAAGTAAGAGCATTGTGCCCTGTAATAATAATTGATTATTATAAGAGTCCCCTACATCTAGTGTAAACTCCCTACTGGTTGTTTAACAGGTTATGAGTCTTGGCCCTTGAATGTCAGGCTCAGAGGATCCATCTTAGTGTCAAACTTGTTCTTAATGACACAATCAGCTAATATAACCTACATTTTATAGTAGTACTACTTCTCCTACACAATGAGCCCCTTCACTCTTAACTCAAACTCTAACAAATCCTACTCCTCCTCCATTACACACTCCTCTATCAAATGTACAGTCTAGTAGTACTAGAGCTAACATGTTGAACAAAAAACTCATACTAGCAGGTAGTCTTAACCTGGCTAATCTACTAAAGTTCTTTGTGAATGTAGAAAAATTCAATAGAAAAAATTATAAAATATAGTGTCTTTGTATTATAAACACACTAGTTGCTACAGGTCTAACAGTACACCTTACAGACAAACCAGACCCTACTAAAGAAGAAGAAACAAACTGTACTAATGTTGTCTATACAAACATGATAATAATAATGAATAATCAAACATTATTAACAGTTGTGAATCATACTACTGTGTCTACATTATGGAAGACAATAAATGAGTGATACAATGTGTATACAATAATGACAGTAGTGATTAATGTCTTAGTGTTATTCTAGTTAAAAGGGTATGTAGCTCAATTTGACAAGACACTTAACAAACTCAAAGAAATATATGACAACCTAAAAGTAGTAAACATGCCTCTAGACAATACAACATATATTAGTGTAATAAATCTGTATGTACTACTACACTATAAGTGGGTAGTGACAATGGTTGACAGGCAGATCACTTATTACAACCAATATATAGTAGTAACAGTAGTATAGAAACAAAAAATAACACTAAGTATACTTATACAAGAATTATGAAATACATTTACAGAATAGTAACAAGAACATAGAGCTAGTACATATGTTCATCATGGACACAGACATAGAGCAAGAGGAGCACACAGAAACAATACACAAGGTAAAAACCCTAGTGTGTGTAGTAGCAGATGAGTACAAACAAGACTGTACAATAAAAAGTACTTTAACTGTAGTAAAACTGGACATTTCTTACATAATTGCTGGTTACCTCCTACAGAGGAAACAAAAAAGAAACACACTGAAAAAGCTGAAAAAGTAAAGTCAACAAGTAACAAATCCTCAAATAGTATCCAAGTTGTTAATTTAGCAAACTCATTAATAATAGAACCATTAGTGTTTATCAAAAACATTAGTGACAACATATTAATGACTGATCAGAACTTTAAACAGTTCTTGAATGTATACAATGTAAGCTACAAAAATAACAAAATAAAACATTATATTAATATACTCAATTCAGGCACTTCAATTTATATGACCCTGTACTTATTCTGCTTACAAAATATTTGAAAAATACTACAAATGAATGTAATTGTTACAGACAAAAGACAGATAACAATCTTGTATAAAGGCAAAATGGACATAAAACTGGATAACTCAAATAGACTAGTAAGTACTATACAATTGCAAAACATATACTATTATCCTTATATGTACTTCACTCTTATTAGTGAAGCAAGCTTATACAAAGAGGACAGATACAGAATAAATAAAAAGAAAAATAAATGTATTATCTATAAAAACAGTAGTAAATGCAGAACAATCTTTACAAATAATAAACTATATCAAATTATTACAAATCATCAATGTCCATACATAAATCTTATAACAATAAAACAACTACACAAAAAATTAGGTCATTAAACTACTAGTATCTACAGTGAATATTAAAAGATACACCTAAAATAATTACTGAAAAAATCATCAATAATAACAAACAGTCATGCACAAATTGCTTTGAAGCAAACATATCTTGTAAAAGAATACTAAAGATGTAACAAACAAAACTAGCAAATAACTTTGGCAAACATTTGCATATTGATATATGAGGACCAGCCCTAATAACTGGTTACAGTAGTATAAAATATCTATTAACAATTGTTGACAACACAACTTGATAGGTAGAAATGTTACCCTTAAAACTAAAAAGTAATACATACACAGAATACATAAAATATACTACACAAATATACACAAACCTTAGTATAAAAATAAAAACATTACAAAGTGATAATAATACTGTATTTCTTAGTAAAGACTTTACAGATTATCTTGATAGTTAAGGAACAAATCAGTAATTAACAGTGTACAATACACTGTAACAAAACAGTATAGTACATAGGAGGCATATTTGCATTCTGTAACACTGGGAATTTATTACAAAATCCAAAAGCTCTCACCTGATTGGCTGAAAATACTTTCTGAAACAAATTTTCCAGACCTCAGAATTGGTTTTTGCCTCTAGTGGTAGAAAGAATGTATAAAACAATACTCAACAGTATATAAGTAAACCTACTATGTTCTAAACTACTATTGAATTTATAGGTGTGGACAGTGTTTTATTAGTGTTACATACATAATCAAACACCAAAATTGGTAATAAATTACAAAACACTATATTACATACAATATAATAAAAATTACAGTCTTAATGACTTACAACCTTTCAGACAATAGTGTATAATATACTTAGAAAATATGAATAAACTACAACCAAAAGGGACTTACAGACATTGGCTTGGGTTTAACACCTAAAGCAAAGGACATATTGTCTATCATGATTACAAAATAAAAATCAAACAAAATCTCCAATTCATTGACAAATCTCAAATTGAAGGGGAGAATAATAATAATAATAAATCAGACAAACAGATGGACAAACAATCAGACAAACAAACAGAAAACAAACTGTGAAGGTCACAAAGAATAATAAGACCTACAAAACAATTAAAAGGATTAAATTACAACAAAAACAATGCTAACATAGTAATACACCTTTTGGAATTCAACAAATATATAAACAAAATACAAAACAATCTAATAAACATACACAAAGCATTATTCCAAAGTAATAAACTAGAATGGATCAAAGTAATGAACAAAGAAATACAATTGCTACAATCTTAAGATACTTGGGAATACATTTACCCACCAAAAAACACAAACATTATTGGAACTCAATTTGTATATAAAATAAAACAATTAGTAGACAGAAATATTAAAAAATACAAAGCTAGACTTGTAGTACAAGGATATGCTCAAAAAGACAGAATAGACTTTTACTCAGACAATCTATTTGCACTAGTGACACAATTAACAATAGTATGACTACTGTTAAGCTGGGCAGTATTAAACAATTACAAAATACATCAAATAGATGTTAAATCAGTGTATCTATATGGAGAGCTAAACAGTAACAAGCAAATATATGTAAAGCCTCCACTAAATAAACTACTACATGATATAAAACCTAGTCAAGTGCTAAAATTAAACAAAGCACTATACAGCTTAAAACAAGTAGAACAGTAATAGTATAAAACAATACTTGATATCCTAATAAAAATAGGATTAATATGTGCAAACTACAAACATGTGGTATTCTATTGAAAAGAAAATAACAAAGTAGTATTAATCACTTTCATACATGTTGACAACATAACAATCTTCAGAATAAA